GAGATAGGTGTCTGTACATGCTCAGAGCTCGTCTCTACAAGCATCTCTTTATGGCTGATGTGCAACAAGCGCGGGGGAGGCAGATGCCCTGATGTCCCCTGCCAGGGCTGGTGGTGCAGACACCCAGCAGGGCACAACCAGCTGCTTCAAGGCTCGAGTTGATGTTACAGAGGTATTTCTGTAATTAATGCAACATTACCTCATAGGTGTGCTCCTCCTCTGGGGTTTCCTTGCCTTCACCCTATGGAGAGGATCATCGCAGATTAGGCATGACAAGAACCCACTGGGATGCTCTGATCTGTGTCCCCCAGGCCAGGTCCCACAGCTTCCATGGGCAAATCCATGCAGTGTCCTCCCCTCCCCTCATTTAAGATGCCTCTTTCCTGCATCAGCTAGCCGCACTCCCATGCAACAGCCCCAGCCCCAGCGCCTTCATGTTGCCACCCCTAGCAGGGTCCTGCCTGGGATGCAGGACACACTGTGAGCACTGCAGTGGTGAGGCTGGGGACATCCCCACCGCTGGAGAGACTGTCACTTACTTTGTCTAGGAAGAGGAGCATGGGGACACTGATGAAGATGACCAGCAGGATGGACTGGATGATGATGATGGCATCTTTCAGGGTGTTTCTGCTCTGGATCTGCTGAATGTTGCTGTGACCTGGGAGCAGCAGCACAGGGAGAGTCCCAGGTCTCACCTCCATGCCAGGCTCCCGAGGAATGGGGATGAGCTCAGCATGGCCACAGCTTTGTGTTTCAGCGGAGAGGATGGGGAGGATATGGTGACATTCCCTCCCCCTCGGGAGAGATCAGAGCATTGTAAACTGCTCCTGGGGTCAGCATCAGGGACCACCTCCGGGGTGAGACACCTTGGGCAGGACCCACCACTAGGCAGGACTAGGATTTGTTATGGGAATGCAGTCCCTGGGATGTGTTTCTTCAGGATGGATGTGCCAAGGCAAACAAAAAAGCAGGGTTTCCTGCTGCTGCATGGCTGGCAATGGGCAAAGAAACCTCTGTGGTCCCACCAGCATGGGGAGAGATGGGTGCACAGGAGCATGAGGTGGGGTTTGTATGGAGAGGAAGGAGTGAGAAAAGGAGAAAGAGCATCTCTTGGGGTACCTGGAGGATGGGGAGCTTCCACTCACCCATGACTCTGAGCTCTGTCCCACACAAGTGCGGCCGCTTCTTTTCCGCCGTGAGGTTCTTGCTGTCACACACGTAGATGCCGTTGTCCTCGTAGCTGATCCTGAAGATGGTGAAGTTGATGAATTTGTCTTTCCTCTCGATGCTGTAGCGAGAGGTGCTGTGATCCATCTCGTAGAGATCATCACTGTCCTCCAACGTTTTGTACCACTGCATGCTATGGGGCTCCTGGGTGTAGCAGATGAAGTGGACAGGCATGTTCTTCTTGGCCGACACGTAGCGTGGTTGCTGCTGCACCAAGGGGCACCCACTGCCTGCCAGGGGACAAACGTGGTCATGGGGGTCACAGACTCGGCACCGGGGGGGTGTCAGAAAAAAGCCACTCCCACTAGACCCCCCAAGCCAAGAGCTTTCCATTTTCATGCATTATACTGCTGCTGAGCATTCAGCTTTGTTTTGGTGAAACATCATCATCTCGGGGCTGAAATCAGAGACTTTTGATGAAAACATGCTTTGAATGGAAAGTCCAGTTTTCTGTGGGAATTGCTTCACTCAGATGCCTTTTTGCTACTCCCACCCCTCTCTATGTACATCTCCTTAGTCCCAGCTCCAAAATCACGGCCCACACTGCCACACACCACACAGCCTTTGCTAGGACAGACTCATCTTCCTAGCTGTCTTCTCTCATGATTCCAGACTTTTTGCATTTTGCTGTATTTTGTATTTTTGCCTGTGTTTTGAGTCCAGAGCTGGTGAATTTGCAGGCTTGTTTGGGTTGCAGAGTTCATGCTTAATACCCATGGGTGGGAATGGCATAAACACTGTGTGCATGAGCCCAGTGCTTTGTCCCAAACCACATCTTGTGCAACGTGCTCTGCAAATGTAGAGGAAAAATGTGTGTGCGCTGGGGAAAGACAAAACTTATCCAGCTTTGCAGAGGGAGAGCAAGATGCAGGGCTGGGGAAATGCCATGGAGATCACAGCCTGGCAATCACCTCTGTGATGGGGAGGGTTGGTGGGTGATGGACCTCTCCAGCTCTGCAGGGTACCAGCCCCTCCATGGCATAGCCAGTGGGGACGTGGGGGACCCCGGGGACACACATAGGGAGGAGCCCAGTGGGGCTGCGAGTTTACCTGTGCTGTTCCTGGCGCTGCTGTTGTCTGCTGACATCCCACCTGCAAGACAGAAGGGTCCTGAGAGAGCGGCCAAGGGCTCATGCAGGACAAGCCCATGTGGGATGTCCCACATGGGATGGTATGTACCGTAGATCCATTGTGCCTACTCCACATGGGACAGAGTGCGGGAGCATCAGCCGAAGCTCTGCTCAGAGGACACAGCACAGTGGAGATTTGCGTGCAAACCTTTCTATTTCCACCCCATCTACTGAATTTTGTCTAAGCTTCTTTCTAGTTGACATCCCTGTGAAGCCTGCCTTTGCTATTAATACCCCCCGACTGGCACCTTTCGGAAGGGTCCTGGCAGCCTCATGCCTCTTTAGTCACACACTCTGTTTTCTGAATCAACCAGAAACACTTTCCCTGACAGGGCTTCCCTGGGCTTGGAGCCCCGTGATGGCCTGGGTGTGTTTTCAGACCCTGGGACCATGTAGTCCCCCAAGGACAAGGGCTGGATGGAGCCCTGGGACCTGCAATGCAGTGCAGGAAGCAGGGTGAAGCAGGGACCCCCCAGCACCTATGGGTGCCCCTGCCCACAGCTCCTGTGCCTCAGTTCCTCTTGCTGCAGCTGGGCAGGAAGCACCAGCCCTGTTTATTGCACCGCTTCAGTGCCCGGCTCCGTCCCCTTGATGAATATTCGATAAACCCCACTGTGGGGAAGCTAGCATGGACGTGGGGGCCGCGCCACCTCCAGCACGTTGGGGCAGCTGCAAAACTGTCCCCCAAGAAGAAAAAGGAAGGTTCAGGTCCCCAGCCTGAGTTCTGCCTTGAGCCTTGCCACCCTGCTGCAGACCTCCCTGCCTCAAACAGCAGCCTGGCAGGGACCTCCTGGCTCAGCTTGGGCTCCCCTCCCTGCCCCAGAGCCTCTTCCGGGTCCATACTGCCACGTTCTCCCCCGGCACCTACATCTCCGCAGGCAAGCTCTCCCCTCCAGCCTCTGTTTTGGGTTTGGGTTTTTTTTGTTTTTTTTTTTTTAAGATGAGGACATGCTTCTTTTCTGGGCTGCACGCTGGGTACGTGTCCCTGCCACCTGCAGTGCTGCCGGCTGGCCAGGATACTGTTTTTGTTAGTGTTCCTGAACGATGCCCAGGCTGGTCCCTCACTCTGTAAGCCCTCACACCTCTCAAAGCCAAGATTTCAATTGTGAGCTCCCCCTCCTTCAAAGCCAGGATGAAACCCTGCAACCTTGAATCCATGCTGGGTGCGGGTGGACACCAACAGAAGCCCTTTAAATGCCCTTTCTCCTGAGGGCACAAGTTTTCCCAGCTGAGGGTGGGATCAGGTTTTTGTGGGTGTCCCTGCACCAAGCAAGAGGAGTTGTAAGGGGACAGGAGCTGTGTCTGGGGTTGAGCCGCTGCTTCTCCATTGGGATGCAAAAGGGAACAGCACAGGCATGATCACAAAGGGACATCAAATCACCCCTAAAAGCCTTTTTTCCTCTCATTTTTTCTCCAATCCTGGGCAGTGAATCCTGTGGAGCAAAGGGATGGAGTTCACCCATGGCCTCCATTATGCGCCAGACCCGTGCTTAGGCCTTTGAGAGCAATAAATGGTTAAAAAATACCCCAAACCCTTCTTTCCTGCCACCTGCAACCGCAGCCATTCAGGCTCTACACCCACCCTGCACCGGGCTCCCACTGAGACCAGCCCCAGAAAGCTCCCGTGTTGCGGGGCGAGGCAGACGCGTCTTGTCCCTGCACCTCAGTGGGAAGCAAAACCCTGAGGCAGACGTCAGGACCCAAGACCCAGTGGGTCCACCCTGACTCCTCTGTGCCCAGAGCTGGCTTCCCGCATAATGCAGGACTGAGAGCAGTGGTTGCAAAGTTGAACACTAATGCATTTAAAGCCACACCTGGGCAAAGTCCTTCATTGCACTACAGGATGCAAGCCAGCACATTGCCTCGGTGCATGTTTCATAGAATCACAGAACGATTTGGGTGGGAAGGGACCCTAAAGATAATCTAGTTCCAACCCCCCTGCCATGGGCAGGGACACCTTCCATAGCCCAGGTTGCTCCAAGCCTCATCCAGCCTGGCCTTGGACACTTCCAGGTATGGGGCATCCACAGCTTCTCTGGGCAACCTGTCCCAGTGCTCCCCATCCTCTCCGGGAGGAATTTTTTCCTGATGCCCAATCTCAATCTCCCTCTTTCAGTTTACCCCTTGTCCTGTCATTCTCTGCCCTTGTGAAAAGTCCCCCCCAGCTTCTTTGTAGCCCCTTCAGGTACTGGAAGGTGCTATGAGTTTCCTTGCTCTGAGATGCAAAGCCCGTGTTTGGTGCCTACCTGTGACCAGGGCCATCAGCCAGAGGTTCACCTGGAGCACCCAACGCCTTGTGCAGGAATCAGCCATCTTTCACTGCCAACAGCAGGGTGACATACAATTCCTGGTCCTCGCTTCTGTAAAACGCAGCAGCCACTCCGACCTGCTTGGCCTCTGTACCTAAAAATGGCAAAGCTACTGCTGTGTGAGACAGCCCCTTTCCTGCTCATGTAAATCCTCCTTGACAGGGACTTTCCCCTTGGGTCCAGTTTTGAATGCAGCGTAGACGCTGGGGCGGTGGGTGCCTGCACCCTGGGCACCATCCAGCCTCGTGTCCCCTGGATATGCTCGCTGTGGTAGAGGGTCTGCTCCAGAGCTGGAGAAGAGCCCATCTGCAAAGCACTTGGTGATGCAAAACCTGGACTGAGCCCAGGGGATGTGCCCAGGGAGCAGGGTGCGACTGCCTGCACTGCCACAACCCAGGGGGTGGAAGGATGGGGGTTACCCTCAGGGTTGTACTCCAGCTCCACAGCAGCATGGGCAGATCCCCCCCACCCCCCCCACCCCAGTTTAGCCCTGCAGGTGATGGGCAGGGGTTGATGCTGGTCCAGTTTCAAGAGTTGGAGCAGGAACAGGGTGGGAAAAGGGGATGTTTGTGGGGCTTCTAATCTCTGGTCATTGAGGGGTGCAGTGGAATCAGTCCCCCAGCCACCATTCCCACATCCTGGAGAGCCTCTGCAGCTGCCCTTCCAGGGAAGGGTGAAACCTAGAAAAGGGGAGAGATGGCCAAAATGAGGTGTCAGCTCCCTGGGTGCTCCCTCCTTCTCCACACCACATTTGCCATGATGGAGACCCTTCTCCACGAGGCCTTTGGAGACAACCCTGCACCCCCAAGCTGAGCTGTCCCCCCTCTGCTCTTACGCAGAGATACGGTTTCCTTCCATGCATTGCCCTCTGGCTGCTGCGCTTTACCGGATGTGGGTGAGCACTGAACTGTAAATCCATGTCAAAAACACCTTTGGGTACTTTTGCCAGCTGTGTTGGTCCCCAGAGCCTGGGTGTCTCTGCCTGGGACCTCCCCAAACCTTCACCTTCTGCAGGTTTGGTGGGTTTTTGCTGGTTCTGAGCATCCGATGGCTGCTGGGAACTGGCCTGAGCCTCATCTTGTACATGAGGGTGCATGAAGCAAGAAAGAGGAGAAATAAAGGCTTCCAGAGTAAGATTGGCTCCAGGACAGGGAGAAAGATGATGAGAGAGGTGACTTCTCCTGGTAGAGCAGGTAAATTGTGACATGCATGGTACTGTATGTTGGGGTCATGCTGCTGAGTCTGCTGCCAGCACCCTTGGTCTTGTGGGAAAAGCACAGCCTGTCCGTGACATCCCAGGAAGGTAAAAGCAATGGGGGATGCCCATGTGCTTGGAAGGCACTGGAGGGATTTTTGCCAAGCCCTGTAATTGGAGATAGGTGTCCCTGCCCATAGCAGGGGGGTTGGAACTAGATGATCTTTAAGGTCCCTTCCAACCCAAACCATTCTATGATTCTATGATTCTATAGGAGCTGTGATGAGGGTTTGCAGTGACGGTGGCCAAATTACACACACACACACACACCACCCCATCCCCCCGTGCTGCCTGAAGGCTTCTTGGCACCGTCAAACAGGCACAGACCTGATCCAGAGGGGCTCAGTCTTGAAGTCCCCTGTGCTTGCAGAATCCATTGGCATGGGTTGGAGGTAGACCTGATGGTCTAATAGGGAGGGTCTTAGGTCCCAATGTCCCTTCTTCTGGGGTACCCTGTCTCCCCATCCCACAGCACATGGCCAGACAATGCTCTGTGTGCAGAGCAGAGCTGCTGCCAGGCAGCTGTGCCCTTTCCCAGCCCATCCCTATTCATCAGGCCTTGGGCTTCACTACTGTCCTTTCTCCTGCTCTGGGTCACGCCACCTCCTCCCTCCAGCCCCTTGCCTGCGTGGGTACCACGATGCTCAACTGGAATTACGCCAGCCTTGGGACGAGATGTTCCAGCCAGAGCAAAAACACAGCGGTGAGGCTGTGCCGTGGCCCTAGGGATGTCAGTGTGCCCCAGGTGTGGCTCCTCCTCCAGCCACACATTGATGCCGAAACCTCCTTCTCCCCATGATCCTGAACTTCTCCCGTGTGGCAGGTGGGGCAAGTTTGGCCTCACAGAGCCTGCCTCAGGGGGGTCTGCACGTCCTCCAAACCCACCTCTCTCCTTGGTTAAACCTGCAGCAGCATCTCCTGTAGCTCCAGGAGCTGGGGGTCACTGTTGGGACAGTCCAGGGGACTTGCCCACAGACAGAGCAGAAGCTCTCAGGGCTTGGCTGGGTTGAAGGTGCCAAGCAGAGGCAGCCCAGTGGGTCTCTTGTGCAGAGTGGGACCACCAGGTCCTGCTGAGGATGGCAGGTCCACCCAAGGACATGCGGAAGGGATCCCCATATCTGCCCTGGAGCAAAGGGAGGGGGCATTTACCCCTCCCAGGGGCAAGGTAAAAATTTCTCCCTCTAACACACCCCAACACGTTCAGTGTCGTAGTAATAGACCATTTACAGTTGTTTATTTTAAGAAATGTACAAAGAAAATGGCTTTAGCTCACACGAATCCTGCTCTTTGGCATTTTTTCCATCACCGACGAGACATAGGTACAAGCAGCATTGGTTGTGAACCACAATCCGGGCTGGGGACCGCTGTGCCATGGATGCTTCCCATGCAAACACCATTTAAGTAACTCAGGCCCCTGTTCCAGGGAGCATCACCCTATGCAACACGGAAATGAAAGCACAACACTAAGGGATGAGCAGAGCAACCCTGGCTCTGCTGCTGGACCGACAGCACATGGATGCAAGCAAGCTCAGCGCTGCTCCTGGCCAGCCTGAACATGGGGCATCCGTGACAGCTTGGCACCAGAAACAGTGCAAGGAAAAAGAAATTACAGTAATATTAAAAAAAAGACAGACCCTTTGGCTTCAAAAAGCAGCCCTTGTTTTAACTGGAAGAGGTTTTGGTTCATGTTTGGTTGGATCTCAAGAGATTTTTTTTCCCTTTTGAAGGTGGCCCATAGATGAACTCAGCACCTTTTGCACATCTTCCTGATTTATTTTCTTTTTGCCCACCTGTCTAAAGAACAGTAAAACCCTTCCGCCCTGGGAAAACCCTCTGCTGAGAGGTTTCTTGGTGAGGACCTGTCTGGCCCCATCAAGCTCTGCAGACACCCCAGCACATGGGTCATCTCCAGAGCCCCAGCCGAGGGAAGCATGCTCTGCCTGAGTATTTTGGGATATACACCCTAGTGGGAGCATTCCTTCTATTAAGTCCCCCCAGTTCTGGGTGGCCGATGGGATTTAAGGGACCCCATTGAAGCAGCGCATTGCAAGGACCGCTCAAAGACCTGCTCTGATCCCCAGATCGCTAATTAACGCTAACCAAGGGTGCTCCAGCAGGACACGTCCACTTGCTATGGGGCTTGAGGAAACTGTAGAGGTGGTTTTGTTACAGGGATTGGGGGTTCTTGGGAGAGGTTTTCCAAACCTTGCCTTTGTCCATTGCTTTCCTGCCAGCAAGTCCAGATGAAATGGGAAAACAGAGAAGAAACATGAATATAAATAAAATTTACATTCATAACATAGAGACCTGAATGATTTATGATTTCAATGCATATTCAGAGACATTTTAAACCTGATATTTCACCCTGAGAACATATCTGCAGATACTTTGTTTTGGCTATGCAAACAAATCTTTAAGACATAATTGCACTTTCTCTGTATATAACAAAAGAAATCCATAAAGCTTATTCAAATATTCAAAAGAAAAGTGCTAATTTAAGACATTGTAGTTTTTTGTTCACACAACCTTTTTTTATAATTATTCTTAATACTGTTTCACTCAGCTCATCTCTCCCTGGCTACTTGGCTGCACTCTGGAAGAATTATATACAAGAAAATTGTGAAATAACATTAATAAATAATTATTTTAAGTAAAAGGGCAGACATACTCTTTTTGTTAATGTCTGAAAAACATCGTTACCATGATGAGATCATTTCAAAACTAAACTGTTTCTCTTTCAGCAACAATAGATAGATTTCACATTTAATTCTCATAAGAAAAATATTAAAACCTTTGCAAGTGCAGTGAGCTGTAAAAAACAGGATCGGTAAGAGATCCTGCTTCAAAAGTGAAGGTGTCTGCTTGAAATATCTGAAATTAGCCCAGTGTCTAAGATCTAGTGATCTGTGTATGGAAAAGCTCTTGAAAATACAAAGATAGAAGATACAAATTAAGTCTTTTAAGGCTGGGCAAGAGAGGGAAACCTCTTTTTGTTATACCAGCGACTCTTTCACAACACGTTCCTTATCCCATGCTTTTGCTTCACTGGGAGCATCTTGAGTCTCTGAGCGAGGAACGGGTTCAAGGCCAAAAGCAGGGGCTGTCTCCACAACGGTCCCACTGTTCCCATACATCTTGTGCATATTGGTGGCGATCAGACCTTCCTTCTCAGGTGCATCCTCTCTCAGGGCATCCTCGTCCTTACTGTGCCTGTACATGTAGGATGCCTGCTTCACCGAGCGCCTCAGGAGGTACCTCCGGAAAGCCCTCTGGATTTTTGTAGCGCAGACTTCCTCGTGCTTCCTTTTCAGAGTGGTGGTGATGGGTTCATAGGAAACCTTTGAGGGGTTTGCAGCCATGAACTTCTCCTCCATGGTGGCCTTCAGGGCATCCATCTCTCCTGAGTCTCCCAACACTTCCTTAGTCAATGCAAAGAGGATATCCAGACAGTGGATTTTGTCCCCAGCAACCATTGGTAGATCCATGGTGATTAACTTGATCTTGTTTGGCTTAGGAATTTTGAGTGGCTCCTGTAAGGTGTCTACAAAGTCAGACAAGGTGCTGTATGCAATGAACTGGGTGGCGTCTGGGTCAAACTTCTCCCAGGTTTCATAAAACATTTCAAAATCATCTTCGCAGAGGGGCTCGCTGCTTTCCTCTGTGGCCACATTGAAGTTCTCCAGGATGATGGCAATGTACATGTTCACCACGATGAGAAAGGAAATGATGATGTAGCTGCAGAAGAAGAA